CTTTCACCAGAGAGACAAAGAAAGACAAAGAGACAGAAAGTGAGAAATCACCCCCCAAGGGGGATGGCCATGCCACAGTCCCTTTTCCTCCATTTTCCTCTTGGGATTTTTGGGTACACATGCACATGCACCCAGCATGCGTTTCAAGCCACTGGGTTTGGGATTCAAACCGCTGTCGACCATGTAGATGTTCAGCGCCTTAACCACTATGCCACCAGCTGGCCCCAGTTAAGTAGCATTTTAAATCCTAAAGTGCTCCATAATTTCTTATGCAATAGTCAGCTATAGCATTAATCCCTTTCTTCTAAATTGTAATATTTATTTTGAAAAGACTGAGTCATGAGAGTGGTCTGCCGTTGACGTTAGTGCTACAGTCTAACTAAAGTAGTTGTTCCTGGCACACCGCAGCATCCCCCCAGTAAAATTTAAGACTCTAATTTAAGAAAACCTCATTGCTTTTTTAAAAAGGTATATTTATTTTATTTGTTATTTTAAAATTTGCTATAGGGCACACATGCTCACCAGAGAGAGACAGAGAGAAGGAAAGGGAGAAAGCAGTCTACCAGGTCCAGGACTTGAACTGTGGTTGGCCATATGGGAGTCTAGCACCTTAACCACCACACCACCTGCTGCCCCCCTCCCCCATTGCTTTAAAAAAAAAAGATTTAGTTTGTTTTCAAATTTATATTCAGCAAAATTTACTCATTTAATGTTCAGTTCTATTACTTTTGACAAATGCATAATAAAGATGCAGAACGGTTTTCTTATCCTACTCCCTCAAAATTCCCTTGTGCTGCAACTTTGTAAGAGCCGCCCCCCACCCCACCAGCTCCTGGCAAAACTTCAGTTTTGTTCTCCACTCCTATAGCTTTGCCTTTTCTAGAATATCAGGTAATGGAATGATATAATATATAGCTTTTTGGGTCTGATTTTGTTCAATTAGCATAAAGAGCATTTGAGATTCATCCATGGTCTTGCATGTCATTAACTTATTCCTCTGTATTGTTGAGTTGTATTCCATTGTGGCTATAACACAGTCTATCCATTTACCAACTGAAGGACATTCGGGTAGTTTCCAAGTGTTGGTGATTATGAATATATTAACAGCTCTTATCAATATTTGTGTAGAAATTTTTTATGTGAATGTAAGTTTTCATTGTTTTGGATAAGTACTAGGAGCAGAATTGCTGGATTATATGGTAAAGTTATATTTATGTTTATAAGAAACTGTCCAACTATTTTCTAAAGTGTCTGTACTATCTATGAAGGGGCTTCAAAAAATCTTATGGAAAAAGATTATGAAAAAACTATGCATGGATTTAACAATTTTTTGGTATCAAATAAACTTGTATTTTAGTTGTCCTTTTTTTCTGTGAACTTTAAAGTCCCCTTGTATTTTGTATTTAAGTCAGTAATTTTTGAAAGTTCTAGTTGCTCTGCATCTTCTCCAGCAATCATGTTATCAAGTGTTTTATCCATTCTATTGTAATAGATGGTTGCTCATTGCCTTTTCACATAGTTTGCTTTTTTGATTTCCATTCAGTTGATGTTGTAGTGTTTACACTGTGTGTGTGTGTAGGAACAGAACTTCTATCTACTTTTGCTAGTCAGACTGTGGTCCCAATTCACTTTCTGATAACTCTGATATCTCTTTTGCACTTAGAACTTGAGCGGCCAGGACTGTGGTAAGTAGTAATTATCAGAGCTCTAGATGTATGTTCACTAAGTGATCACACTCTTCTGAGAAAGATTCTAAAGTTTAATAGGTGTGTCCAGATATTAAAAATAGTATTTACTGTTATATTGGGTGCCTACTTTGCATTGTATCCATTGTATCATGTAATGTTCAAATATTGGACCATAATAGAGAAAAAAAGAAAGAGGGGAAGAAGATAGAGTTATAGGAGGTTATTCCATGGGAAGTTGGGAAGATATTTGATTCTTTGTTCTTAGAATTCAATGCAGGAAATGATAATGATTGTTCTATGTGATGGGTTTTGACATGACCCATGTCATATGGCTTCCATTTTTAAATCTCCCAAAGTGTTTCATATCCTAAAATCACCTTATTTGATGTAATAAACCAGAGAAATTCAACTTCTCTTTAACTCTATCAGGGGTCTTCAAAAGCTCATGGAAAGTATATAATATGAAAAAACTCAATTTATAAGCTAACAAATTATCTCGATATAAGTTAATGAATATCTTGATATAAGTTAATGAATGCTCACAGTATTTTACATTTATTACAGTTGCCCATACTACACATTTAACTAGGTTAATTTTATTTGAGGTTGATTACTGGGATAGAGCTCTTAGGTTAATCCAATTCTTTAAAAAAAAAAAAATACTATCGAGGCCAGCTTAAGGGAATTGAATCCCACATGGCTGACTATGGTTCAAATTCTGAACCTGTTGACTTGAAAAACACAGTAGGCGTGTGTGTGCCCAGAATCCTGTAAGGAGAAATGGAAGAGAAGAGACTGCAGCATGGCCATGCCTCATGAGGAGTGTCTTCTTCCTCTCCCTCTTGCCCTCTTCTTTGTCTCTTTGGCAGGTATATGTGCCCACTGGCAATGAAAAAAAAAAAAAAACTGTTAATCCAATTCATTGGGAACATTGATTCTGCTTCAGATGGAAATATGTTAGTAAGGAAGTAATAGAATAAAATTCATAGCCTTTATGATAGATTTTTTTTTAATGTTCTCATTTTTCTTAAAGCTAGTTCTGCCCACACCCACATAATTTAGTTTAACTTGTGATAAAATTGGTCCAGCAGGAGGAGTTGGATATATGTTGTATTTTCGCCAGATTTCAGAAGAAAAATGTTATTTCAAGTGTTCTGGTCATTTTTGGTACAGTGAAGGTCTTGCCATGTAGTTGTTGTTGGCAGGTTTATAGACCGTTGAACACGTCTTTGTGACTTACAGAAACCACAACACGCATACCCAGAAAGTTGGCATCATGTGAAAACATGTAAATCTATCAAAGAAACATCATGCTGTGCAGCCTAATAAATATAAGGATCTTGATTTTTTTTTTTTTTTTTAATTTACTGTAGGGCATACACACTCACCAGAGAGACAGAGAGGCCACATTTCTCAAGTGGCCAGTCTGGGAGTTGAACCATGCAGTTGGCCACATGGGATCTAGCCACCTCAACCACGATGCTACAGGCTGGCCCCAGGAATCTTGATTTTGATGAGAAAGTGATTCATTTCCTAAGCCTGGGGCTGGAGAAATCTGAACTTTCCTTTGGGTTTTGTAGCTAATTCACTACCCATGGTTGAAATATTCACTAAATAAGTACATTATCCACCAGTATATATTCATTCATTACATTTACAAATTAGAGGAGGTCTGATGAACATGGAAATAAACTGACACAAAAGGTTTTGAACCGTGTTGAAGGTATAGAGCTGACCAAGTGGGAATTTCTGGTGGAATCCTTTGTTTTGACTTGTATGGATAAATTACTTGTGATTACATAAAGAGTTTTGAAATTTAGTTTCCTTTTCCAGAATAGAAAAGCAAACCTCTTTATAAATTTTTATGTAAGACTCTGGATTTGCAGTTTTCTAGTAACTTTTTGGAAATTTCAAAAAATAACATTAAAGGTTTTTTTTTTTTTTTTTTTTTTTTTTTTTTTTTTTTTTTTTTTTTTTTACCAAGCTAAATATTTGTCAGTATAACACGATTTTATATAGTGCTTTACCTACTCAGAAGCATAATTTGTACTGTCGATCTCTGTGGGCTCTTTAAGCCTAGGTTCATAACTATTTTGGAACAGGGCTTATTAGAATATATGCAGAGTTTTATTTTATATTGAAGGGCTTTGCTTGCTTGTTTGTTTGTTTTAGTTTATTCATTTTCTTTTTTAAAAAAATATTATTTATTTAATTTTATTTATTATTTTTCCATTCAGCAAGAGGGAAAGTGAGAAAGCAAGCTGCCAGATCTAAGACCTGAACCATGGTTGACAATGTGGGAGTCCAGTGCTTTAACCTCCATGCCAAATGCTGGCCCCCGTATTCATTTTCTTTAGGAGAGAGATAAAGAAAGAAAGAAGCGCCCTCAATGGGGTCTTGTCATGCCCCAGCCACCTTCCCCTAGCCTTCTGGCTTGTCAGGATCTTGGGCACATTTGCTTATGCCCAGCATTTTTTTTTAAGAGAGATTTTTGCTATAGGGTATGTGTGCTTGCTAGAGAGATAGAGACAGAAAGCGAGAAATCACCGTCCTGGGGGGATGGCCATGCTGCAATCCCTTCTCTTCCATTTGCCACTCAGGATTTTGGGCATACATGCTCACTCTCCCAGTGGGATTTTAAACCACCAGGTTGGGGACTTTAACCATGGTTGACTACGTGGGAGTCCAGCGATGCAACCATAATGCCATCTGCTGGTCCTGTGACTAGCATGTTTTGAGTCTAGCTGACTGGGGATTCTAACTGGCTGTTGGCCATGTGACCTCCAGCACTGCAGTTTGGTATATTACCACTGTTGCACAGAGAATGGGTCTGCAGTTGATTTTAACCACGTGTTTTTTGTTTGTTTGTTAAATAATTATTTTACTTAACTTTATTTATTTTTAATTTGACCAGAGAGGGACAGAGAGAGAGAGGAAGAGAGAGAGAGAGAGAGAGAGAGAGAGAGGAAGTAAAAAAGCAAACCCCCAGGTCTGGACTGGAACTGTAGTCGGCCAAGTGGGAGTTCAGTGCCCTTAACCACCATGCCACCTGCCAGCCCCAGTTTTTAACCACATGTTTTTATACATGCTTATAAAGTCCTATGTTGATACTGTGTCATACTATGTTAAAACTATTTCCTTTTCTTAATATGAATAGAAACAGTAGCAAAAACCAAATGCTGCCTGACCTTTATAGAGTGTTATCCTTAGAAGGCCAGAACTAAGGGCTTCTAAGTATTTTCATTCTAAGAACTGTTTGAAATGTACTTAAAGAAAATGTTCATTTTCTAATTGAGATTGGCTTTTACTCACTGATAAGAATAAATCTGTAAACATTTTCCTCTGGATTTATCATTCCCCATTTTCCTGCCTTAAAGCTTCAATTCGCCATTGATTTCCTCCTGGACAGAACATACTAGCTTACAATTCTAACGGTAGCACAAGTTGGAATCTTACAAGCAGTTCTTGTGTGACCTCATATAGGTCACCAGAGTTAATCTTCTGAGCCTTAGGCTTTTGGTGCTGAACAGTGGGATTATTTATTATTTAACATGTTGTCATCACCAGCATGTACTCTCAGTGCCATGTTGATAAGTTTGCCTTTGGAGACTTTCAATCCAGAAAACTTAATAATATACAACTACACAAACACATTGGGGTATAAGGTAAGAGGTATAGGACATAAAGAGTACTGGAAAGGAAATGGAAAATGTTGACTTTATAATTCTGAACTGTATATAATTTTATATACCCTATTGTATTTACTTTCCAATTAAGTATATTTAACAGCATAGAAAGTAAAATTCATCTAGAGTTAGTTTCACCTATCCTTACAAAGTTGTCATTGAATACTTCTAAGAAAAAGAAAATAGAGTTCATTTTATTAAGAAGATGTTAATTGATAACGTCTCTCCTTTTTTCCTTTTCCAGAGTATGTATGTAACTGCTCTGCGGTTGGAAGTCTGGATGTGAATCGCTGCAATCAGACCACAGGGCAGTGCGAGTGTCACCCAGGTTACCAGGGGCTTCACTGCGAAACGTGCAGGGAAGGCTTTTACTGGAATCGCACGTCTGGTCTCTGTCTGCCATGTGACTGTGTTCCCCACGGAGCCCTCATTGTACTCTGTGACAGGTAAGCTGCAGAGGGTAGAGAAGTTCTTTCTATTTTAGCAAGAAAGAAAAAAAAAGTGACTCCATTTTTCAAGAATCAAACTGATTTAAATAAAGGAAGAGAAGGTCATAGATTAACAAAGTATTTTTATACTTTTTTTTTAAAAGGTTTTTGCCATCCAGCATGTGTGCTCACAAGTGAGAGACAGAGGGAGGGAATGTGAGAGACGGAGGGAGGGAATGTGAGAAATCACCCCCAGGGGGATGGCCACACTGCAATCCCTTCTCCATTTTCCTCCTGGGATTTTGGGAATGCATGCACACATGCCTGGTGTGATTTTTCAAGCCACCAGGTCTGGGACTCAAGCCACGGTAGGCCATGTGGAGTCCAGTGCCTTAACTGCTATGCCTCCTGGTGGTTTTTACACTTTTATTCTCATTTTTCTTTATGTTATATTTAATAGATTTAAATCTGGGTCACTGTTTTGCTCTATGATGGTATCTCTAAACTTTTTGAAAAAAAAATTGAGAAAGGAATCTTCTTTCTGAAAGGGCTAATATTCAGGTATTTTCAGTGGAAATGTTCTTGTTACTAGCTATACCTTTGGAGTTTGAGGAAAATGTGTAATTTGGTTTGTTATTTTTTTCTTTATATCAATTATAGATCAATCCTTCTCTCTCAAAAGAAATAAAATAAACTCGAAAGTAAATAAATATGTTAGTGTTGATGTGCCCATGGGTGTCCATGATCCTGCTGGCTGGAAGGCTGGAGGATTGTGGTAAGGTGAGACCTTACTACAGGGCCTCTCTTTTTTTTCTCTCATGAAAGAAAGAAAGAAAAGAAACTTTTTAAAAAATTCTAGATTTATTTTTTTGGACATTTAAAGCTAAAACTTAGTAATATCCCACTTTCTTTAGCTAATGGTCCATAGGCTGGTTTTGCAGAATTTACCAGTATATTTTTGAGACCAAAACTAGATTAAACAAGAATTATCTGGAAATTGTCTTTAAAATATTTATTTGGAGGCCACATGATCTAGTAGAACAATGCTCTATTATCTGAGGATTTGCTTTCTACTACACTAAAAGTAATGATTCTCTGACTTTGTATGAAGCACTTAGCTTTTTGCAGACCCCAACTCAAAGAAACTGGAGACCACATTGTGGAATGAAGAGACCACAGACTTGGAATCCATGTCACCAGGGTGTGAATCCAAGGTCTGCTGTCTCCTAGAAGTGGTGTTCCTGGGGCAGGTCATTCATTTTACTGAGCCTCAAAATTGTGGGGAAGGTTAAATGAATCAGTATGTGAAATGCCTAGCACACATCACTCAATTAGTCCTGGCGGCTGGTAGGTAACATGGCAGTTAGAGGCACTGGACTCCCACATGGCCAACTACAGTTTGCGTTCTGGACCTGGTGGCTTGCTTTCTCCCCCTTTCTCTCTCTCTGTCTCTCCTTGGTCAAGTTCAAAAATAATGATAATGATAAAAATTAAATAAAATAATTCTTTAAAAAAATAAGTCCTGGTTTTTGATTGTCCGCACTCTATGGCCCAAACTAAATGACTAGAGGATATAGAAACATAGTAAATGGTTGTGAATACCAGATACAGTGTGGGAAGAGGGAGAGTGAAGGAGTAGAGTCTGAGGAAGGACATTAAAGAGACAAACAGAGAGGCAAGGCATTTATGGGATAAAGAAATGGGTTATTATCTGTTGAGGGATAACCTTATAGTACTGTCAGCTGGACCGGTGTGAAATGTACACATGTTGGAATTTTCACTTTGCAAGCTAAGTAACATGATTGAATGTATAAAAGTAATTGAAATAATAATAATAAATAAAATAAAATGATAGCATAAAAAATAAGTCCTGGTTTGTTTTAATTTCAAAGGAATAGTGTTGTCTTAAATTAGGAAATTTTCTTAATTGCCAGAGGATGTGTGCTCTCACCAGGGAGAGACAGAGAGGGAGAAAGCACCCTAGCAGGATGTGGTCACATCACAATCCCTTCTCCATTTCTCCATCCTATTAGGATTCAGAGCATGTGTGCACATGTGCCTGGTATGTTTTTCAAATTGCCTGGGCTGGAATTCTAACCATGGCTGGCCATGTAGAATTCAGCTCCCTTAACCACTAGGCTCTGGGGCTGGCCTAGGGGATTTATTTATTTATTTATTAAGAATTTTAGATCCTTGGGACCAGCAGTTGGAATAATGGCTATGTCGCTGGACTCCCACGTAGTCGACTGTGGTTCACGTCCCGGACCCGATGGCTTAAAACTCACGCTGGGCACACGTGTGCGTGCGTGCCCAAGATCCCAAGAGGAGAATGGAGGAGAAGGGATTGCAGTGTGGCCATCCCCCCTGGGGGGTGATTTCTTACTTTCTGTCTCTTTGTCTCTCTCTGTCTGTCTCGCGAGCACACACGCCATGTAGCAAAAACCTCTCCAAAAAAAGAAAAAGAAAAGAAAAGAAAAAAGGAATTTTAGATCCTTGGCAGAAAAAATGCTTTATGCTTTTATCTTTATATTTTAGATATTTTATAAATCATATTGTATGTACATACTACTGTATAATAAGTCTATTAAAATATAGATGTGAGCTTAATAAGTTTAATTTCACTTGCAGTGATAATCAATTTTTATGATGCTTAGTATTTTTAAATAGTTATTTGTCTTGATCCTCACTCCAACTTCTTATATGCATATATAGGTTACTAGGTCACAAAGAGTGACAAAGAGGAATTCCAAATTAGGCCTTTCAATTAGAAGCCCAGTGTTTTTCCCATCATCCCACTTGGTATTTTTTAGTGAGAAAATTTGTAATTACTCTGTTCTTTGAGATTGAGAATATAGTAGTGGCTTGCCATTGATTCCTCTACTCCCCCTAAACCAGTTTTATACAAGTTACATTCAGTTTCATATTCCTTAGCATTTTAAAAGACAAGATAGGGATAAGTTTGCTCATTTCAGTCCCTCATGGAATATCTACTATTTCCTGTAGAATAAGATCCTACAAACATACTAGCTTTGATTACTTTTTGAGTGAGAAAAATGTGTTTACTTCTAGGTCAACTGCCTTATTAGAAGGAGAAAGTAAGGAAAGAATTGAGAGTTTTAGAAGCTGGAGAAGAGGAAAAACAGTAACAATTAATACTTACATACTATCTTGGTGTTTTCATAGTTTCAACAAATTATTTCTGATTCATTTTTTCCCCTGGCAACTAATACTATTAAGTTTGATGCTGAAACACTGTCCTGAAAATGGGCACCTGTACTAACGACAAAGTAGTTGGACAGCACACGGGACTAGTAATCTAAAGGTCTAGGGAAGAGATCTGCAAACTATGACTGGTGAATCAAATATAACCTATTGCTTATTTTTTTGTTTTAATTTATTTTAAGCACTTATTTACTTTCTTGTTCTGATTTTTGGGCCACTAGGTCCAGGACTTGAACTGCAGTCAGTCACGTGGGAGTCCAGCGTCTCAACCACCACGCCACCTGCCAGTCCCCTTTCTTCTTGTTTTTACGGTGCACGGCTTACCCATTTGTGTATGTGTGTGCATTGTTTAGGGCTGCTTTTGTGCGTAGTGGCAGAGCTGACTTCAACAGAGACCCTGTGGTCTTCAAACCTCTGTTTGGGCTCAGGAGATACTACTGTGTAGTGGGGGCCTCAGAAGCAAATCATCTGTCTGCCTGCCTGCCTGTCTTTTGTCCCTCATTCTCTTCTAAGGCAAGTCATATAAACTAGAATCTTCCTTTCTCAAGGTGGGTCATAGAAATCAGAACTTCTTTTCCTCAAAGCCCATCATAAAACCTAAAAATATTGTTCTAATTTTTTCCCTGCCTTTCTGTGTAAGACTTGACCGTGAAGAAATTCCGACCTGCCTTGTCTGATATTAGACCACAAACCTTCATTCCAGCGGGGTCCTACCCAATGCCTGGGTGGAAAGAATATTATACAGAGAGGCCAAGAAGCATCTAGACAGGCAGACCTTGTTAGATTTCCCCATTTGGTTTATTTCTTTAGCTCTCTTTGTGTCCAGTCACATTCCTCTATGTCTGTCCCTGCTTCATCAAATGCAAGCATAAACTCAGATAACTTCTCCTGTATTGTAAAATGACTTGGTAAGTGAGAATTGTGATAGAATGAATTTCTGCTTCTCTCTCGTTAACCTGTCTATTGTTATAGGGGTGTCAGACATGGCCTTTTATGATGGGCAGGAGGGAGATCATGCCCTTTTCTGCTCCTATGCCTAAAATACTATCTGGCCTTTTAAGAGAAAGTTAGCCAGCCCTGGTTTATACCCCGTCATGGTGGATGTTTCTAGGTAACCGTGTAACTTTAGGCAAGTTGCTTTACTTCCTGTAAGCGTGTGTTTTTTAATTCATGAAGTAGGTATAGCAACCTATGTCTTACTCTTCTCCTGAACAGAATTGTTTTGTCTTAAGGATCAAGCAAGATAGTAAGTGTTCAGAGCTTTGTAAGCAGTAATATAGTTATTATTTATGGAGCTGCAATTGTTAGTTAGACAATAAAAGATAATAATAGGAAACATTTATTGAGCATGTATCAGGGTCTTCAAAAACTTCATGGAAAATACGTGTTATGAAAAAAACTATGCATGTGTTTAAAGATTCCTCATACCAATATATGCTTATACTTTAATTCCATTTTTTCATGATGTTTTCAAAGTTCCTTTGTTCTGTGTGCCCAGGTGCTGTGGTGATGTATGTGCATTATCTCATTTAATCTTCACGAAAGCTCATCTTCATAAAAACTCCCTTGAGAAAAAATGCTATTATTTTCCTACTTTGAACAGGAGACTTCTGATGTTTAGGGTGTAACTTGCCTAAGTTTGTACACTGAAGTTGCCATTCAGTCCAATTGAACAAAGGTAATATGTAAACAGAGCTTACAGAATCTCTTTCCTGTTGAAATTTTTGCAAGTAGAAATTCTTTAAGCATTTAACACCTAGATATCCTAAAATTCAATGTGTTTGGTTACTAATTAT